TGAAAGGGCCGAGGGAGTTCTCGCAGTTTGGGTTACCACGCCTTGCGATGGATGTGCGTGATGGGTTCGAATTTCAGAAATGTGGCAAATCCCTGTGTTTTTGGACCCTGACCCCGCGGATCTGCGTGAGGGGTGGCACCGAATTTCAGAAATGTGGCAAATCCCTTGTGTTTTTGGACCCTGACCCCGCGGATCTGCGTGAGGGGTGGCACCGAATTTCAGAAATGTGGCAAATCCCCTGTGTTTTTGGACCCTGACCCCGCGGATCTGCGTGAGGGGTGGCACCGAATTTCAGAAATGTGGCAAATCCCATGTGTTTTTGGACCCTGACCCCGCGGATCTGCGTGAGGGGTGGCACCGAATTTCAGAAATGTGGCAAATCCCCTGTGTTTTTGGACCCTGACCCCGCGGATCTGCGTGAGGGGTGGCACCGAATTTCAGAAATGTGGCAAATCCCTTGTGTTTTTGGACCCTGACCCCGCGGATCTGCGTGAGGGGTGGCACCGAATTTCAGAAATGTGGCAAATCCCATGTGTTTTTGGACCCTGACCCCGCGGATCTGCGTGAGGGGTGGCACCGAATTTCAGAAATGTGGCAAATCCCATGTGTTTTTGGACCCTGACCCCGCGGATCTGCGTGAGGGGTGGCACCGAATTTCAGAAATGTGGCAAATCCCTTGTGTTTTTGTACCCTGACCCCGCGGATCTGCGTGAGGGGTGGCACCGAATTTCAGAAATGTAGCAAATCCCATGTGTTTTTTGACCCTGACCCCGCGGATCTGCGTGAGGGGTGGCACCCCTTGTGTTTTTGGACCCTGACCCCGCGGATCTGCGTGAGGGGTGGCACCGAATTGCAGAAATGTGGCAAATCCCATGTGTTTTTGGACCCTGACCCCGCGGATCTGCGTGAGGGGTGTCGATTTCGAGCCCCCCCAGCAATTCAGACAACGCGCCCAGGTGAGGCTAAAAATCCTGTTTGGGCCTCCCCCCCCTCGCGCGGTCAATCAACTAGTTACAGCAACCAGCAAGAAGTCAACTAGTTACAGTAACCAGCAAGAAGCAGAACTGTAACACTGGAAACTACAACCTACGACTGGTACAGGAAACTCCGAATCACGTGCCTCGCAGCCTGGTGGCCCCACAAGGGGGCCGGCGGATATAATGCAAGCATACATACATACATGCATGCATGCATACATACATACATACGTCCATGCATACATACATACATATGCATACATACATACATACATACATATACACACATGTACATACATACATACATACATACATACATACATACATACATACATACATACATACATACATACATACATACATACATACACACACATACATACATACATACATACATAAATACATACGTACATACATGCATGCATGCATGCATGCATACATACATACATACATAAATGCATACGTGCATGCATGCATGCATGCATGCATGCATGCATACATACATACATACATACATACACACAAACAAATATACATACACACATACATACATACATACATACATACATACATGCATGCATACATGCATGCATGCATGCATACATGCATCTTTACATACTTACACACATACATACATACTTACATACTTACACACATACATACATAGGTATAGACCTATGAGAAAACAATAGTAGGACAAGCAAAAAAGAACGACTGTAGTCTGGGTCCTTTTCAACATGGGGCTCTCGCTGTGGTGCCGCACACATTCGGCCTGGGCGTTTACAACAATTGCGCCAATGGAGCCCAGGTCCTTTGGGAAGTGTTGCTCTCGCCGTGGTGCCGCGCACATGCGTCTAGTCTCCAAAGTTCTTAACGCACTTACAAGAAAGGAGGTGGGGTCCTCTACAAAATGGGGCCCCTGACTGCAATTTCCCAAACGGATCACCACAATGGTGAGGGTGTTCAAGAGTGGCACTGATGGGGGACGACACTTTTCAAGCCGTGGTTTTCGCTTGAGAGTCGCTCACATTCGTTACAGAAGCTTGCAACGGCAACAAGAGTGGAGGGCGACTTGGCTTGAATATGGTGCCCTCTTGTCAGTGCCTCGCACGTTCTGCGTAAAACGTGCACCAACTACAAAATATGAAGAGCGGTTCATTTTCAACATAGTGTTGTAACTTCGAGCGCCGCGCACATCCACTTTAAATGATAACGACACAGCCAAGGAAGGAAGGCGATCCGTTTCCAAACATTGTCAATCGAATTATCGCCGTTCATGTTCGTTTCAGCATCGGGCAATTGCTATCTAGGATGAGAGGCTGCTCCGTTTTGCGCAGTGGGTATCTTGCTTTAGCTTCTTCCAAAGTCAATTACCAGAAGCTTGGATATGCGCTACAGCTGCACAGATGGAGGGCGCCCCTTGTTCAGAAAGGGGCTCTCGCATCATATTTTTATCAACATGAACGACCAGGAGCGCAAACTTTGCAAGTGCTAGGTGCACGGATGGAGGGGGCCTTGTTTTGTTCGAAGCGGGGATCGTGTTGGACTCTTCGTTTGGCTTTAGGATCATACCTTGTTGCCGTCCTTACACTTCGTTAGATGGATTCGACGCCGCGCCTGATCAAAAACGGAGGAGGGTCTCTCGCCCCAATGGGGCATCCATAGGATGTTCGATGCTCACACGAGGGGTCTCTGGTAGAAAAATAATGCGCGTATGGATTGTTGAGGAGTGAATTCGGGACGGGATAATCCTGGGTTAACTCTGGTAATTATCCTCCTCCCCTCTCCTCATCCTACTGGGTCCTTTTCCCTTGTGGCTTACTCCTCCTGTCGCACTCCCAAGCGGCGCCTTTTCAAAAGGCAACTCTCGCTTCATTGCCGCGCACGTTCGTCCTAAAAGCTTGCAGCAGCTACACGGATGGAGGGCGGTACGCTTTCGAAATGGGGTTTTCACCCCAGCGCCTCACACATTCGTTTCAAACGTCCCCACCACTCGCCAGGAAGAAATGCGATCCGTTTTCAAAACGCCTATCGCATTCGCGCCGCGCACATTCGTTTCAAGAGTACGCAGCTGTCTTCTATGGTGGAGGACGGTTCCGCTTTCGAAGCGAGGATTTGGTTTGCGACTTCCTGCCGTTGCATTACCGTGGTGCACGTGTGCGCAGAATGGCACGAGCGGGGGCGGCTCGTTTCCAAAACGGGGCAACAATCGCCGGACATCTCCTTAAGCCTTACGGTGCTGATATATGTTTGCCGTTCCCAGGGCGATGGGATGCAAGGCAGTGCTCTTTCAGAACGGGGCTTTCGCCCGAACGGCAAGCCAATGGGGTGCGCATCTTTCGAATGGGCGTGCCCTGCGGCGAGAAGGATGGCATGCAGGGACACGGGGATGGGCTTGGAACGGGAGGGCATGTTGTTCTGGCCCCTCCTCTCTTTCCTTGCCCCTTCCACAATTACTCAATATGAATACTACTCTCCCTCTTCCCCCGATGGCGGCCTGAAAGTAGCCGACCCCCCCCCCCCCCCGCGTCCTGCTTTTTTGCACACGGGATTCCCGGGAGTTGGGTTTTCGCTTGCATTTTTTTTCAAAATGCTGCTCTCGCTGAGGCGCCGGCCTCATTTTCGGGCCCCGTTCGTTCCGAATCGTGCTCCCGCTGCAGCGTTGGCCTCATTTCCGTGCTTCCGCTCGTTCCGAATCGTGCTCCCGCTGCAGCGCTGGCCTCATTTCCGCGCTTCCGCCCGTTTCGACTCGTGCTCCAGCTGCAGCGCTGGCGTCATTTCCCGTGCCATGCCACAGCACACGCGCACACACACCACCACCACCACCACCACCACCACCACCACCACCACCACCACCACCACCACCACCACCACCACCAGCACCAGCACCAGCACCAGCACCACCACCACCACCACCACCACCACCACAACCACGCACACACGCACGCACGCACGCACGCGCACCACCACCCACTAGTCCGCGGATAGAGAAAATCAGCGCCATGGTAAGGGATGGGAGGGAGGGGTAGGACGTCAGATATGACGCGCGCGCACCTAGCTTGCCCTTCCCCCCTCGCTTCTCCCCCCCCATTCCTCCCCATCTACATCCCCCCTTGTGCTCCGCTGGACGCGTCCGCGGCGCGGGGGCGTGGGGCTGTGCAGTCCACGGGGCCTTTGTGCCGCCTGCGGGGCGGCTGCGTGTCTTCCTAGGCAGTTGTACAGCCGAGCTCGATCAGTGCAGGTCGACCCTTACAGACCACGGATGCCCTCTGTGCCCGGTGCTTCGCGTCCGCATCCTCTGCGCTCCTGGGACTGTGTGGCTCGGAGGGGTCCCGTGGCCTCTCGCGGGCCCTCTTCGACCAGGCCCGGCGGCCACCAAGACACTCCAAGGCAGCCCCTCCTCCCGTGGCCCCTGGGGGGAGGGGGGGGCGCAGAAGAGACGCCGATGCTGCAACTCCCCCGGGCCTCTCCAGGAGTGCGCTGCGACCTGACTTCCGAGGCGGCTCCAGCCGCGGCGACGGCGGAAGGCTGGCGGAGGGTGTGCGCCCTCCCTCCTCCCTCCTCGCCCCCTTTCCCTCCTTCCCTCCTCCCTCCCTCATCCCTCCCTCCCTCTAGGCCTCCCAGATGGGGTCGGAGCAGATGGATGGGGTCGGAGGATCGCGCCGCATCGCCGATGCCGATGCATCGGCGATGCGGCTCGATGTGGAGGACGATGTTCTCCACAGCGACGGCGCCGATGCATCGCCGACGTCGCCAGTGCATTGCCGATGCATCGCCGCTGCATCGCCGATACATCGGCGATGCGGCGCGATCCTCCGACCCCGTGTCCCCCTTGTACATTGCACATGTTGAGTTCCGGCCTCGACCTGTAAATGCCAGGACATCCCGTCAGCAGGGCAAGACGCAGATACGCATCTGTATAAGCTGTATCTTCTGACCCTTTTCGCATGAGGCTGTTCAGTACAATATCGTGGTTGCCGAGGGGAAAAAGAGGATCCTTGTCCTCCTCCCCCTCCCTCCGAGGATGCGCGCGAGGCGCTGCCGGGCCCCGAGGCCAGCGCGGAGGAGTACCTGAGCCTGTTCTGCGGGCTGCCGGAGCGGCCCGAGCTCGCGGAGCACGTGGCGGGCCTCCTGGAGACGCGCCTCGCAGGGGCACAAAGCTCAGCATCGTTCGACCGATCCCTAGGGGGGTAAATCGGCCAGTGTGGCCCAGGCCACACCAATAGGGTTAGGGGTCTGTTAAACGATGCCCGAAAGCCCCCCGACAGGGACCCAGATCGGGACGATCGGACTGGGCACGGAAAGAATGGGTATCAAGACCGACGGCGTGTCCTGCTCGATTTGAACAGGACTCGCCGTCGGCGTCGCCGCGGACGTTGCCCATTCGAGACAGAAGGCCGCATGCCCAGCAGCGGCCGATGCCAGTTTTGGACAGCACGTGTTGTTGGGCATCGTATCATGTTTTCCCGTACCCATTTCGGGCGTCCAGCAGACCAGGCCCTTCGCGCCGTGTCAAAAACATGACGGGCGGTTGTTCGTTGCTTTCGGCTTGTGGGGGGCCCTTGCGGGCCCTCCGGGCCATCGGAAAACGACGCGGGATGAGAAACTGGTCTGGGGGGATGGGTCCAGGCTGCTGGGGGCTCACGCCATGCAGAGTCAAGACGTCCAGGGACTGGAAGTGGGGGGGGGGGGAAGGGACTGGGAGGGGCTCACGCCATGCAGAATCAAGACGTCCAGGGGCTGGGAGGGGGGGGGTCGCCTGCGAATTCCTGCAGAGGGGCCAGGAGTCATGATAGCGATAGGTCCCAGGCTTTCCGACGGCGGGCGCGCCAAGTCAGAAAGTCGGCCTGCCAGCAGGTGCCCCACGGGAACGTCGTATCCCCCTTATTGGCCCCACGGGCCCACAGAAGTTCCTCCGGGGCAACTCAGGACCATCAAGGATCGACGAATGATGTCAGCCAAGGTTTCTTACAAGAAGACTTCTCCTCGAATACGGCTACTCTGTAGATATCCTAAACTTCCTGTTGCTCCGCACGGGCTCCAAAAGCGAGGGACGCCAGAAGCTCCAGAGCTCGTGGGACGCGCCCTGAGCCAATCGCGTCATGGCATCGTTCTCGTCTAAGTGTTGCCCCCAATCCCCGAGTTCCCGAAAAGATCCGGCAGCTCAGAAAAGGGAGGAGAACTCGGGAATCCGGGCGGGTGGGGGTTGTTCAGGCGCGCCTCTATCGAAGATAGACGTGCCCCAATGATGTATCCCCGAGTCTGGCCTCAACGTCGTGCCCAATCGCAAGTCCCACAAGGTTTCGAAACTTGGTCGCCATATCATTTGTTAGGATCGATGGATGGACTTCCAGGATCGGGATTCTTTGACAGAGGAACAACAACACAACAATATCATCTAGGCTTCTGATCGTCTGGTGCTCTTTTCAGGGCTCCAGGGTGCCTCCAGAGGGCTCCAGGGACCTCCGCGGACCTCCTGGGAGTGCGCGCAGACAGTCCCAGGGAATGGGGGGGGGGTTATAAGGAGGAGATGCTTAGGAGTTGCTGTTACAATGTTCAGCTTCTGTAAACCCACGTTGGGCCCTTGGGCCGTCTAAAATCGATCCAGGAAGAGGACCCGGCCAGTAGAGTGGAGACCCATGCCAAGAAACATTCTGCTTGCCTCCAGGGTGCCCTGGGTTTCTTGGGCCTCGATGGTTTTGCTGTGGAAAGCGCGGCGTTCCCACACCAAAAATCAATGGGCGTCCTGGGGTCTCAGGGTTGGATTTCTTGTGGAAGGCTTCTTGTGGACTGGCCCCCACTGGATGGACCCCAGGGGGGAACGGGGAACCGTTTTGGCGAGGACCTCGAGGAATAGCTTGCTATGAAGGCGCCAGGCCGACGTTCGCCAGAGAGCGAGAGGCGGAGTAGGCGCATGTGCCGTTTCCTTCCGCCCGCCAGATCGATACGCTCTTCATCCTCCTCCTCCTCCACCTCCTCCTCCTCCTCCTCCTTTTCCTCCTCCTCCTCCTCCCCCAGCCACTCCGACGTTGTGGTCGGAAGGCTCGGGCGGATGAGTTGATTTTGCCTGGAGCATGTCCACATCGGTCGCAGTTGGACGTCCGTCAACGAAGGAGGGGAGTGCGGCAGAAGCGAGGAGCGATCGGGATCGAGAATCAAAGCTCGAGGGTCGAGGTTTTTGATCGTTTGGGTCCACCTGGCAGGTGCAGCGTGCAGCGTCTGGGGGACCTCCAGAAATGCACCTATTGCTCAAGTTTGAGTGGCCCGCGAGGTGTACGGAACCAGAGGTTCCGTACACCTCGCGGGAGGGAGGGAGGCGGAGGGAGGCGGAGGGAGGTGAGAGATGTTCGGAAGGTTTTTTGGAAGTTCTCGGGGCTTTAGCGGTCTTTTGGTGGCGTTCGGATTGATTCGAGCGTTTCTGGGGAGTGATGGAGCAGGGAGGAGGAAGCGGGGAAAAGGAGGTGGAGAGAGGAGGAGAGGAGGAAGAGGAGGAGAAGGAGGAGGAGGAGGAGGAGGGAAGAGAAGGAGGAGGAGGAGGAGGAGGAGGGAAGAGAAGGTGGAGGAGGAGGAGGTGGAGGAGGAGGAGGAGGAGGAGGAGGAGGAGAGGAGGAGGAGGAGGAGAGGAGGGAGAGGGAGGATGAGGTGCAGGAGAAGTCTCTGAGCAGACCGAGGCGGCCTGCCTGCGGATGAACCCACTATCGACACATGTTGTCCTGGAGTGTGGGGGCAGGGGATGCAGCCAAGACGTTGTGTTAAGGACCACTTCGGGCCCCGGTGTTCCTCCTCCTCCTCCTCCTCTTCCCCCTTCTCCTCCTCCTCCTCCTCCCTCCTCCTCCTCCTCCTCCTCCTCTCCTTCCTCCTCCTCCTCCTCCTCCTCCTCCTCCTCCCTTCCCCCCTCCTCCTCCTCCTCTTACATTATTTTCCTTATAGAACACTCCTCCCTGTCGCACCCCGAGGCAAGTTTTTACAAGTTTTTAGGGCGGGCCGGGCGTTTCGCCTCAGACGTCCTCACCATGTATGATTCTGAGGCTTAAAAAATTATGCTAACGGAGTTCCCCACATAATGATGTTTTTGGGCTAGCGGGATCAAGCAACATTTTGTAGAGAAATTGCCGACCTGCCCTCGCCCTCTCCATCCTTTTCTATCACATGGTTTGCGAATACCCTCCTCGCTCATGCGGGGCTTCCCTGGAGGGGTGGGACGGGCACGGAACCTGATAAATAGCACTGTTCGCGAATACCCTCCTCGCTCAGACGGGGCCTCCCTGGAGGCGCTCAGGCGGGGCCTCCCTGGAGGGGTGGGAGGGGCACGAAACCTGATAAATAACAGGTGATGCGAATACCCTCCTCGCTCAGGCGGGGCCTCCCTGGAGGGGTGGGAGGGGCACGAAACCTGATAAATAACAGGTGATGCGAATACCCTCCTCGCTCAGGCGGGGCCTCCCTGGAGGGGTGGGAGGGGCACGAAACCTGATGAAAATAACAGGTGATGCGAATACCCTCCTCGCTCAGGCGGGGCCTCCCTGGAGGGGTGGGAGGGGCACGAAACCTGATAAATAACAGGTGATGCGAATACCCTCCTCGCTCAGGCGGGGCCTCCCTGGAGGGGTGGAGGGGCACGAAACCTGATAAATAACAGGTGATGCGAATACCCTCCTCGCTCAGGCGGGGCCTCCCTGGAGGGGTGGGAGGGGCACGAAACCTGATAAATAACAGGTGATGCGAATACCCTCCTCGCTCAGGCGGGGCCTCCCTGGAGGGGTGGAGGGGCACGAAACCTGAGAAATAACAGGTGATGCGAATACCCTCCTCGCTCAGGCGGGGCCTCCCTGGAGGGGTGGGAGGGGCAGGTATGGTATGGCTTGGTATGATTTGGTATGGTATTGTTATGGTATTGGTTGCTGTTCTGTTCTGTTCGTGGTTTGGTATGGTATTGGTATGGTATGGTATTGGTATGGTATGGCTTGGTATGGCTTGGGATGTTATTGGTTTGGTATGGTATGGTTGGTATGGTATTGGTATGGTATGGTATGTATTGATATGGTATGGCTTGGTATGGCTATTGGTATGGTAAGGTATTGGTATGGTATGGCTTGGTATGGTATGGTTTAGGAGAAGGACGCGGGAGGAGGAGGAGAAGGAGAGGGTGTTCTGGGAAAACAAGAACCCCACTCAGGATGTGGGGAATAACAACAGTTTCTTAGATGGAACGCGGGTCGTTTTCAAAATGTGGCTCTCGCGCCGCGCACATACGATTTCAATATTTGCAACGGTTTCGCGGATTGAGGGCGGGTTGTTTTCAAAATGTGGTTCTCGCCTTAGCGCCGCGCACATTCGTTTTCAACATTTGCAAGAGTTTCATGCATTGAGGGCGGGCCGTTTTCGAAATGTGGCTCTCGCTGTAGCGCCGCGCACATTCGTTTTCAACATATGCAGCAGTTTCACGGATTGAGGACGGGTCGTTTTCAAAATGTGGCTCTCGCCTTAGCGCTGCGCACATTCAAAATTTGCAGCAGTTTCACGGGTTCTTTTGATCAACGTACCAGGAATGGTGTTTTGGAAGGATTATGTAAGATGCGGGTGCAACAGTTTTGTTGATTCGCGGTGTTGAAGTCCCTAAAAATGGCGCTCTGGTACGATTCCGTTTCGTCAAGACGCAGCAGTCAGGTTGATACGTGGCGTTGAGATCCCGAGAGCAATGTTTTGGCATGCTTCAGGATCTTCAAACGGTTGTCGTCCAACGAGGCAGTTCCCTCCATGGAAATGAACCGGCGTGGGGGCCCATGAAGAGGGAGCTTGGAGGGAGGGTTATTTCCAACATCGTTGATGACTCTTGGTTTTACACTGGTCCTCCTCCTCCTCCTCCTCCAGAAAGGGGCTCTGGCTTTCGGACGGCTCCTTAGTCCCAGTGGCCGAGGCCCGCCTTGGTCTGAAAAGCCCCTTCGTTCCTCACTCCTGCGATCCTCACGGCACCACGTATGGCACGACGGCCGTGCCAGCTCCATGCAGCCCGCACCGAAGGGAGCGAGCTTCCCGTGCGGGCGACGTGGCACGAGCAGGGCAGTTTAGATGGTGGGCCCACGCACGGTCCCTAGGAAACCCCCGAACAGGGAAAAAGTTCAGCTCGAGGAGAGCTTCC